AGCTTTGCTTGAAAGAATATTCCAGAATCCAATAAGGTTTTGCCATCGTTCAGAATGGTTTCATTGAACATCAGGCGTTGATGGTGAATTGGAATGTTCCAGTTTCGCTGGATTTGATTCTTGATCATTGAGATGTTGGTGTCGATATTGGCCATCAGGTCTAATGAGGGACCATCCAGGATAAATACAGCAATTTTAAACTGTGGCATTGGCTAAAACAGATTGATAAAGAAATTTATTTTGTTTTGGTGCTGGAAAGATAGTTGGTTGTGCTTCTTCTAAAAACAGATAGCCCAATAATTATATTGTTCAAGTTTATTCCCCACCTCTCCTGATTCTTGTTGTGGTGATAACTAGAACCAGATCCTAACATTCATGTTCAACATTTTATTCTCAGCAAAGACATAACACTTGTTCAACATTTCACTAAGTCAGATCTTGTACTTATCTGATATCCACACTCAAAATTTATGGTTGGTGGGAATCCCAGCTGATTCTTTGCACTTACACCGAGGTCTGCCCTATTTTACCAAGTCTGAATCTATCATGGTAACCATTTATTTCCTCCTCCCTTCAATGCCCTCCCCAGCTTCCTTTCAAATTCAATTAAATCACCCCCTGTAGTGGGGAGTTCCACATTATCATGTAGTTATGTTCTTCCCCACAAGAGTAACATTGTCTTTGAATCCACTCATTTAAAACCTGTCATTATTTTAACGCTCACTATTGCATCATCCCCTCAACGCCTTTTTTTCTTAGCAGTCCTTTCCTGAAATGTATACAAACATATTATTGGCATCATCCTTGTCAATATTTTCTGAACCTGCTCCAGTGCCCTCTACCTCTTTTTCATATTATTCAAGAATCATAGACTGCGTACAGTGTGGAAACAGGCCCTTCGGCCCAACAAGTCCACACCGAAACTCAGAGCATCCCACCCAGACTCATCCCCCTATAACCCACCTAATCTACACCTCCCTGAACACTACGGGCAATTTAGCACGGCCAATCCACCCAACCTGCACATCTTTGGACTGTGGGAGGAAACTGGAGCACCCGGAGGAAACCCACACAGACACAGGGAGAATGTGCAAACTCCACACAGACTATCGCCCGAGGCTGGAATCGAACCCGGGTCCCTGGCACTGTGAGGTAGCAGTGCTGACCACTGTGCCACCATGCCGCCCAGGATTATTGTGACCAGGATGCATGCAGATCTACCAAAGTTCAATTCAAGTTCAGCACAATTTGCCCACCTTTTGACTCCATGGCTCCAGCAATAAATCCTTGCACTTCGTTTGCTTTTTTGCTTATGTGTTGAGCTATCTCTGGTGAGTGATGTAATTACAATCCAAGCTATCTCTATTCCACTATCCTGCCCTAACATTCACTTTTAAAATAAAGTGATATCACCATTATCCCTACCAAAATGTACAGCTGTGTGTTTATCAGTGTTCATTTCTGTTTGTCAATTATTTGTTTCTTTGCCAAGTTTATTAATGTCCTCCTATAATTTACTGCAGTGTCCCTCAGTATTGACTATACTCCCCAATTTGGTGTCACCACAGATTGTTCATGTAAATTATGAACAGCAAAACGTCATTCACTGATTCTTATGAAGCACTACTCCCCACATTCGCCAACTCTGTAAAACACCCAGGGTATGCTTCTGGTTTGTGGCCAGCTCACAATCCGTTCACCAAATTACCTCGACTCCATAGTTGTTGACATTAAATCGTTGTCAATCATGAGCACCTTACCAAATGCCTTTTAAAAATCTGGTAAGCTTACTGCATTATCACTATCTTTTCTCTCTACCACTGCTCCAAAAATGTAATCCATTTGGTCAAGCACGGCTTCCCTTTTTGAAGTACACTTTGACTATTCATTGTTATATTTTTCACATCTGAATTCCATTCTTTCTCCTGTCACTGATGTTAATCTCACTGGTCTGTAATTCCACGGACATATTCTATCCCTATTCTAAAGACAATAATTTCATTACCTTTCTGCCAGTCCTCTCATGTTACACCTTTTTCTAACAAATTATTAAATGTCTAGAGGTGTATTGCTATCTCGTTCCTAGATTGTTTTATCTCTGTGGATGCAAACCACCTGAACCTGCAGACTGAACAGAGTCCTGAGTGAATGATGAGATAGGCAATGTCATATCTACAAGGTGTGTCTTTGGTTCATAGCAAAACAAACTAATAATTTAATGTTTCTGGCATCTTTATATTGTTACCTTGTAAATTATCCTGTTGAATCCTAATTGGCCTTATTTCCATTATTGCATTATTTTTATGCATGTAAAAGATTTTACTACTTATTTCATGTTCCTTGAATGAAGTCAAGAGAGCAGGAACTCTGAGTTTACAACCCAACTTACAGAATTTCTACACCAAACAGTGCCCCGTATCAATCATTTTCTAAAACTATTTACCTGGACCTTCCACAGTTGGACTCCAGAGACACACAGAGAATGAAGCCATTTCCTGGCCTCGTTGACCATCACATGCCATCCAGCAGATGAAGCCACATTATTAGCTGGATCGGCTGGGTCAAGAATTATTGGTCTGCAAAATAATGAACCACAGGCCTGAGTTTCTTAGCAAAGTAAGGCTGAGTTTAATGATGATTATTGTTATTAGTGTGGAAAGAATCCAGCAATTTGTGATGAAGAAGTGATGCCCATGAGTTATGAATCACCATAACTTGCTGGATGATTTGCGTTCCTCTGCCAATAGCTGTTAACCTCCCCAGATCTTTCAAGGACTTTCTCTCTTTGCGTAATATTGAGGAATTAAACTCACAGCAGGAAATGAGTGTTGTAACTCAGCCACTTGCTTGTCTCAAAACAAGTTTCACCTCATGGACAGAGCAGGGCACTGTGATCCAGAAAATCATCAAACAGTTCACTCAAAAGAAAATTATCTTCCTTCTGGCCTCCTTCACTCATGAGGAAACTAGCATACTTCTTCTTACTCAGTATATTGATCGGAAACCTGATGCCAGGTTGCTTTGAATCAAATCATTGATGAATTCAAAGTATTCGGAATCAAGACCCTTAACCTCATCTTTATCAGTGACTTTATTTATGCCGTGATGTGGTTTCAATCCCCGAATGTTTTAGGGTATCCCCCGATGCTCATGGGGAGTAGATACTGACCAGAAATATAATGTGAGGGTTTGAACAATGGTTTCTAGGAGATTATTAAAAATTGGATTAAAAGGACTGACGACGTTTTTGGAGAATTCTATAATGCGGCACCAATGTGGTGTAAAATTCTGAAGAAGAGTCATGAAATGTTAACTCTGTTTTCTATCCACAGATGCTGCCAGACCTGCTTTGAATCTCCAGCAATTTCTGCTTCATTTTATTTCAGAGCTCCATTAGCAGCAGTGTTTTGTTTTATTTTAGTGACTTAAAGCTTTGCTGCTGATGGAAAATAAGAGAAAGAATAGTACACAGGAAGTCAAAGCCATGAGCTGGAACAATAGCTAGATGGTGTTACAGGCACAAAGTACAGCAAACAAATGAGGTGATTTGGAGGTTTGATAACAAAAATAAAGATTTTAAGACTAGAAAAGATCAGTTAGAGAAGGAGCTAGAGCAGAGTTTTGATTGGGTATTAATGGAATGAGAATGATAATGTGCATTTAGGAATGTAGTCCTTAGTGAGGGATCATGGGCACTTTTTCACAACAGAATCGGTGTTATTGCTGACTCATAACAATGAGCTGTATATTCATCACATTAAAGTAACATGTTATATCACTTATTTGACACTTCAAGATGCCAAAGTACTGATATTAAAGGCAAAGCGAATTAGATCGCCAAAATGCCCTGAAATCAGCTTCCTTACTTGGGAGCTCCTTAAAGAAGTGGAACAGTTCTAATTGGTTTAGGTTGAAGGATATTTGAAAGCTTTTACCTGCTCCCACGAAGTTTCTTAACTAGAAAGTTTGCAATGACTTGATTGTTGACATTGTAGTTGTCAGTCCAGTAAATATGCAGATTTCGATAGCTGCAGATCAGTTCAAGGACTGTGCGGAAACGTTCAGCAGTGACAAATCTTTCACTCCCGCCACCTTGCTCCCAGGCGTAGATAGTCAGCAGCTCCACTGCATACTTAGC